GGATGGATGGATGGATGGATGGATGGATGGATGGATGGATGGATGGAGAGATGGAGGGAGGGAGAGAAGGGAGGAGAGAGGGGAGGAGGGATGGGGCAAAGTTTCATATACAGTGAGACCCACAATGGATGTCCACTTTCTGTTCTTTTAATTGCCAAGCATTTTTGTGTTCCTCCAGCACAACTGGCCACAGCAAGTTGCCCTGTGACAGGTTGGCTGAGGTGAGTTAGCCGTAGTGAGTTGTCCTGTTGCAAGCCAACACTGGCATTGTGTTTCCTAATTTGTACAACTTTGGTTAAAGCTTGACTAATTGAACTGCAAATTTGGCAGCAATGAAGGACAAATGCGGTTGTCTTAACAGACTCTCACCAGTCCACCAGTGAGCTTTCTAGATGGCTGAAGTAATGGTGGAGATGTAACAGAATTTGAGTGCCCTCCAAACCATCTTTAAGGCTGGACACAGTGTCAGATGAATAAGGCTGACCGCAATAAGCTCAGTCTTGGTCATTGCTATTGCTATTGCCTCAACCTTCCATCCTTCCGAGGTCAGTACAATGAGAATCCAGATTGTTGAGGGCAAGAGGCTGACTCTGAAAACTGTTTAGAGAGGGCTGTAAAGCACTGTGAAGTGGTATATACTGAGTCTCAGTGGCGCAGTGATTAGAGTGCAGTACTGCAAGCTACTCCTACTGCAATTTGGCAGATCGAATCGCACTAGGCTCAACGTTGACACAGCCTTCCATCCTTCCGAGGTGGGTAAAATGAGGACCCAAATTGTTGGGTGCAATAGGCTGACTCTGTAAACTGTTTTTAGAATGCTATAAAGTGGTATATAAGTCTAAATGCTATTGCTATTGACTCAGCCTTCCATCCTTCTGAGGTCAATAAAATGAGGACCCAGATTGTTGGGGGCAATAGGTTTACTCCATCAACTGCTTAGAGAGGGCTGTAAAGCACTGTAAAGTGGTATATAAGTCTAAGTGCTATTGCTATTTTAGCCCTACCTGAGAATCATTGAATGGGACCGCCCTCCATAGCCATTTGGATCCACTAGCATTTCTGAGCTCCCTTTCATTTTACTTAACTTGACTTCAACTGCAACTCATCCAATCCAATTGACATCATCCTCCAATCACAGTTAAACAATTAACAATCTTTTGTAACAAACTTCAAGTAACAAACTTCAAAGGAGAGATTTTAGCAACTGCTTGGATTTCTGTTTTTGTTTTCCTGTTAAAAACATAACAGGAGCTGTATTGGGTTAGAATCATGCCCAAAAGGCATTTGTGGGTGGATTACCAGCAAAGCTTTGCCTTAGAGTGTCCTAAATAGATGTTATTAAAAAGGGAGGACTCCGTTTAGTGCTCTCTAGCACAAGAATGGTTTTAGCGGAACAAATGCCGAGGGTTACTTTACGTGGCACGAAGTAAACGTGTACAATTAGAGAAGGTGTGCCGGATTCCGATAATGCCGTCTTATGACAACAGGGATTCAAAGAAAAATGTGAGTTTTGCCCATTCATAAATAATAGGGAGCATGCACAATCCCACTGAATAAAAGAACTTCTGGGGGCTCATGGATAAGGTTTCCGTTTGTTTCTTTGTTTCCATGTACTTGGAAGCCCACTGATATATTTCATTCTCTTCTAGAACCAGTCATATCTATCTGCATTTTATTGTGGCTGTGCCTTGCCTTAAAAACAAAGAAACAAGCAAAACAGCTTGAACATTTCCAAGTCTGTATTGTGCAAAGAATGGAATATGAATATATACTGTGTATGTGTGTGTTTGTGTGTATAGAATGAATAAATACACACACACACACACACACACACGTTTGCTGTATAAAATTGAGGAAATCGAATCTACTGTTCGAAGCCAATCATTCCAGTGTTTTGCTTAGAAGGTTTTTAACTTCTTGTTTTCCTATAATCATCGCAGGATATTTAAGCTTCTGCTCTAGATTGGGACACAGCTGAATTTATAAAGTTAGACAGAGGGAAGGACCCACTGATGGATGGAAAGGTGGAAATTACAGAAAAATATCCCTAGGGGGTTTAATATATGGGTTTCCAACTGCCCACAACCATATCGTAAACCTATTACAAGTGAAATCTAGATGTTAGCCTTAAATTTCTCTCGGTTCTCTGTAGCCTGATTAATTTTCAGTGAAAACAGTTGTCTCCTTTCCTTTCCTCTCCTCACTCTCCTACTTCTTTACGTTTTATTCCTCTTTCTTCCAGTGAAATGATTCCTTGTACCATTTTGTTGTTACTGTTCTTAATGTACTGTTTTGTATTGGTCTCCATTCCTGTTCACTTGGGGATATTAATTTGTTTGTTTGCTTTTGAACGCAGAAACATTTTGCTAAACTTCTAATAAGCAAAAATACCAATCCATTAATAATACTCTTTACTGTAATAAAGATACTGAGTCTGAGTCTGAGGCTGGTGTCATTGTGTTGAAGGTTAAAAACTGCTGTGCTGTAGAATTTTGCCAAAGGATGCAATAATGACAAACAACCCTAAAGCATCTGTATCTTTTGCTATTTCTTCAAACCTGGTGCTCATTTTTATAAATCCTTTCCTTTGTCCATTGGCCACATGGATTTCATTCTATGATAATATTTCATTTTGAAATCAAGGGGAAAACATTTATTTATTGCTGCATTTAAAATCAAGGCTTGAAGGTTTTAATTTTTTCCTGGAATGCTCCAATTAGGTTTTTGGTTTTTTTAAAGGAAATCCACTTACTTTAACCAAGTTCCGTCTAGCAGTTTTGATGTTTCATTTCTGAATTACTACTTACACTTTGCAGCGCAGACCTGATTTCTGTTTTTTTAAAAAACACACCTTGAGTTTAAAAAAAGATATTTTTTTTTAAGTTAAGCCTGTCAAGAATAACTTCAAGTCATCTTGTTTCTCTTCTTTTCCTTGAGTTTTCAACCCATCTCTTTTCGCCAACTCCAGGATGGGTTTTATTCAAGCTAAAAAAAAAAAAAGCAATTAGTTAAGACCGTGTGAATGGAACTGGGAGGGTGTTGTTGGCTATTTCACCTGTATTTCCATGGCTGAGCTTGGTCATAAACTCACAAGCTACCTGTGTTTTTAGTTGAAGATGAACAACTGACGTTGTCACCCAAAAGGAAGCAACGGAATGGAGGAATGAGGAACTCTCCAAACTCTTCGCCCAAACTGACGAGGTAAGGTTCTAAGTCGCTTTTATCTTTATTTCTCCTCCTCAAGACAACAGTATCTATGTAAACTAAAGGAGGCAGAAATAAAATTAGATAAGGGAAATATTAGAATAGAATTTTTTATAGAATGAATAAAGATAATAGATAGAAAGACTAGAAGTTTACAGAGGTTAGGCAAACTTTTAAAATGTATTTATAGAATAGAATAGAAAATAGAATATAGAATAGAATAGAATAGAATAGAATAGAATAGAATAGAATAGAATAGAATAGAATAGAATAGAATTCTTTATTGGCCAAGTGTGGTTGGACACACAAGGAATTTGTCTTGGTGCAAATACTCTCAGTGTACATAAAAGAAAATATATAAGTAATAAAATGAGAATTACTTACATTTAATAAATGGGATAGAGATTCCCAACATTGTTAGCATGAATTGGATCAATATGAATGATACTTCAGAATTAATTTTGTTTATATGTAATAGAGAAATGTTTAAATTGAACAAGAAAGACATATAGATGGAGATAGAGACAAAGATGAGGAGTTAGGCATATTTTGTTTATATATGTTTAAACGATATAATGAGGATTACTTAAATTTGACAAATGGGATAGAGATTAATAATATTGTTATGATGAATTGGATCAATATGAATGATACCCCAAACCAACTTGATTCACACACAATATGGATGTATATTTAAGAAAAATAATAATAATAAATATTTTTTTTAAAAAAAAAAAAGACAGCAATCTCACCGACAAACTCCACACACACACCCCAAAAAAAAATAACCTAAGGAGGAAAAAAGAAAAGGGATTTGTGGCAGGGTGTTCGAAAAAGTAAAAGATTGTTAGATGGTTTCTGAAACACCGGAGTATTTATTCTGTCAGCTTGTCAGCGGTTAATGATAGAGCTCAGGGAAGAGAAAAAAAAATCTGTCATGGAAAACAGTTTGAAAAACTGTTTGAAAAATACACAGGCTTTAAAGTCTTAGTTGTCATCTAGCCTGTCTGCGTGTAGTTCTTAAACAGCAGTGGCACTAATGATAGCGCTAACCAATCCGAGCAGCCCGTGGGGTGAGTTTGCCTCGGGCAATGCTCTTTTTTTGTTGAAATCCCTCCGAGTGCTGTTTTCTGTACTTAAAACCGTATGTGAGATGTATCACCGCAATCAGAAATGAACCTGAATATTACCTTCCTTTTTACCCTATCGATTGAAATCAAATTTCCTCTAATTGATTTGGAATGATTCTTTACAAAAGAGGATGGAGAGGGAGGAACGGGACGGGATAAAAGAATATTCCGAAGCAAAGTTGAAAACTTAACATCCTCGTCCTGAGGCTAAAAAAAAATTGCATTAAATTATGAGAGGTGTTGTGGTTCTTGTTCAGGTGTCGTTGAAGAGCTCTGAACACTTTGTTCCTACAAGTGCTTTTGCTAGGATGAAAGTCTTAAAGGGCAGAAACTTCCTGTAAGAATTTCTAAAGATTCATTTGTAAAGAGATTATACACAACAAGGAGTAAACTTGGAGAGGGCTCCTCTTTTCAAACCTCTTAAGTATTATTCCTTAATTTTCTTGGAGGCAAAAGCGTCAGATTATTTTAAAAAAGGGGTGTCTGAAATCTGCATTTCCTTATACTTGGGATTTTAAAGGGAATTTGAATTCCTCGTGGATGAGTGACCTTTCCCAGTGGTGGCACTTTTACAGGTAGGAGGCATAAAATAATCAGAGCTTGGAAGATGGAGTAGGCCTAATCCAGGTTTTTCTCAGTGTCCTGTGCCTTACAGTTTTGGGGTATTGAAAAGAGGCAAACCATGAAAGGGAGATTAAAAACCACATGATGCATGGAGATTCAGACACATACCATTTCCTGCTTTGTTTGGGGAACTGATTGCTCCCAAAAACTACAATGCATTTCCTCAAATATACCCATTTTCGTTTGGAATTTCGAACGGAAGGGCAGGAAACGAGAGATTGGCAGGAGGGGTTGGCATCTTTCTGTTCTCTTTCTGTTGAACGACGATTGTGGCTTTATATACAATATCCCAGTGCCCATGTTGCTCATCCTTGCTGATACAGGACTCATTTACCTCTAGGTTTATGCCAGAGAGGGAGTAAGATGAGTCCAGAGTGCACTTATTTTGTCCATTGCTGGTGTACATCCTTGCATCCTTTATCTTCTCCGTATCTCAACTCTTTTAATTTCTGTTCATGTGAAATTTGACAGAGAAGAGAGAAAGAGAAATTTCCCCCCAGTCCTTCTGTTATCTGATAAATATAGGGATATAAACGTGAAAGAAAAGAAGAAGGGGGGAAAAAAGAGCGAAAGGGCAGAGAACCCAATATCGTTTGGAGTGATGTGCTGTGTCCCTGTTTGCTATGTAAAGTATGCTTCGTTTCTTTGATCTGGAGTGATAATAATTCTGGGGAGTTCTACTGTTTTCATATGCTTCAAAGCTGTGTCAAAGTTTTGCTGCTTCAGGGTACTTCTTTATTCTACTGGCTCATGGGTACTAAGATGACAGGTCCTCAATGCTAGGTAGAGGCTTTTTCAAGTCATTGCCTTCAGCAAAACATCAAATTACCAAATACGGGCTAACACAGTTCTACACAGATGCCTTTCCCGTAGATATATTATACCATATATATTAAATACTTTAGTGTTACACGGTACATTTTATGTGCAATGGAAAGTGATGGTTGGAGGTAGCCTTAGGGGGAACTTCCCGCCCTCCCCACCCTTAAACCCCCCCCCCACTTCCCACTAGCCGAAACAGCTAGTGTATATCGTATCAAGTATAGTTTTTACAGGACTTTCTGCCTGAAGGCCTTTGTAAATAAGTAATGATCAACAGATTGGCTGTGGGTTTTTTGAAAAGCATGCCTCTGTCAGTTTGCATGATGGGTAAAGGATTTTCAAAGTGGAGCCTCGCTTTTATTGCCTGCTGAAGAGGGACTCGGGCAGATTACTTATCTCAGGCTTGAGCTGTCTGTTCTGCAGCCCATCAAAATTGCTAAACTTCGCTTGGACAATGAGTGAGGAGCTCTCAGCAACCCGAGACCTGTCTTGTTTCCTGTGTTTTCCATCTGCTGGACTTGGGTTTCTAGTCCAATCCCGGGCCTGTCCCTGCTCCCTTCGGTCCATCATTTTTAGGAGCCTGTGGTCACAAGATTGAACCATGGAATCGTAGACGAAGGGACCTCGGAGGTCAGGCTGCTGAAGAATAGAGTTGGAAGGGATCTTATAGGTCTTTCTTAGTCCAACCTCTTGCTCAGTTAGGGCATTCACAAGTTCTGGAGACAAGCCGTTTCACTGGTTATGACATTTCTCTTGAATGAATAAATCAGGGCTCTTCAAACTTGACAGCTTTAAGACTTGTGGACTTCAACTCCCAGAATTCCTCTTCCAGTCATGTTAGCTCAGGAATTCTGGGAGTTGAAGTCCATAAATCTTAAACTTGCCAAGTTTGAAGACCCTTGGAATGAATGAATGAATGAATGAATGAATGAATTCTTTATTGGCCAATTGTGATTAGGCACACAAGGAATTTGTCTTGGTGCATATGTTCTCAGTGTGCATAAAAAGAAAAGATACATTCCTCAAGAATCAGATTACAGATGAACAGAGTTGGAAGGGACCTTGTAGGTCATCTAGTCCAACCCCCCCCCCTGCTTGAGCTGGAGACCCTATACCACTTCTGACAGATGGCAGTCCAGTCTCTTCTTGAAAGCTTCCAGTGAATGAATGTGGGATGAAGCTCCCACAACTTCAAAAGATACAACCCTTAATGATAATAATAGGGTACAATAGGCAATCAAATCATACTAGGAAACAGTCTATATAAATCATAAGGATACAAGTGACAAAGTTACAGCCCTATAGTCACAAGTGGGAGGGGATGGGTGATAGGAATGATGAAATGATTAATAGTAATAGTAATGCAGACTTTGTAAATAGTTGGACAGTGTTGAGGGAATTACTTGTTTAGCAGTGATGGCTTTGGGGGAAAAAACTGTTCTTGTGTCTAGTTCTAGGTTGTTTCTCTCCTTGATTAGTTTCCATCCCTTGCTTCTTGTCCTGCCTTCAAGTGATTTGAAAAATAGGTTGGCCACATAACCACAGAAATGTCTTCAGACAGCGTAGGCTTAAAGGCCTTGAAATGGAGCTGACCACCTCCACCTACAGTCAGCAGCAACTAGAAAAGTAAAATCCACAGAAACTCCTTTCACACACACACACACACACACACACACACACACACACACACACAGAGTATAGAGCAGCATAAACATGCATAAATTAATAAATGGAGGATAAATGGAGAGAGGTTACGGCCCTATATTTGTTCTATCAGGAAGGACGGAGAAGAGAAATACCTTCATAATATATTGTTCTGGCTTGAGGCAAGGAAATAATTTTAGTTGGATTAGATGGCCTACAAGGTCCCTTCCAATTCTGTGAATCTGTATCGGTATTTACCTTTGCCATTTCAATATTGGCTCTCAGTGTTAACATATGCTGAGTTATTAAATGATCAGACCTTGAATGAGCTGTAGTGGCCCAGTGGTTAAAATGCAGCACTGCTTTCTAGGAAGGAAAGAGAGATGGAGGGAGGAAGGGAAGGGAGGAAGGCTCATGGTGTTACAGTGGTTAGAATGCAATGTTGCAGGCTGACTCTGCTCACTGCCAGGAGTTTGATCCTGACCGGCTCAAGGTTGACTCAGCCTTCCATCCTTCTGAGGTTGGTAAAATGAGGACCCTGATTGTTATGAATGCTGAATGTGCTCAGAGTCCTGTAAAGCACTATGGAGCAGTATATAAGTCTAAAGTGCTATTGGTATAATTTAGACAAAATATGCCTTTTATTTACAATAGAAAATAAGGACGATATATAATCAGGTGGAAGACTCACTGATGTGTGGTTTTCAGATGCGGCAAAGAAGCACCCATTATAATTCAGGGTTTGTTCCCCACACAGCAAAAATTGCTTATATCCTA